AATTTAATAATATACACATTATACTAAATATATTCATCATAATGAATATGGTCGTACATATAATTCCAGTGCCTAATAAATGATCAGCGTTACACATTAGTTCATGAAATAGTTGTGAAAATTGTATATTTTTGTAGTTAACAACGAATAAAATAATATATTGTATTAAATTAAGAAATGTTATAAAAAACCCAAAATATGGATTATAAAACCATTTCCTTTTGCAATGAGATTTTGGTTGAAATAGTGATAAACCAATTGAATAGAGATGACTGTCAGCACCCCTTACACGCCATTCAGGGGGTATGGGTTCACTTAAATCAATACTAATATTCATTTTGAGTTATATTTAATAAATAATAGAATTGACTTATTGAGTAAAATATAATATAATATTATCAAAATATTTATAATAACCACTGCATTAATATCTCAAAAGTTAATTTGAAACTTTTTAAAATAATTTGTTTATTTAAGTTGTTTATCGAATATTATTAGAATTTAATAGACGTTTAAAATATTCTTTAAAATATGAAGATATTTAAATATTATATTAGTTTACTACCATTATACAGTATAACATTTTGAAAATAGATAACAATAATTTTGTACTTAATGATAAAATTATTATATTACTGTTTTTATTTATTTTAGTTAAGTATGATAAAAGTTTTTAATGCAATTTTATATAACTAAATATATTATAAGCATATTTAGTTACCTTATTTTGGTCTCATAAAATTTTCTAAATATAAAATAAATACTATTATTAAAAACATAATAATTTTATTATAATGAGTTATTACAAAAACCAATATTTCTAAAACAGTATAAATTAGCTAGTTTAGCAAATTTTATAAGTTATAAATTATAACAAATTAACTACTTTTTATAAATTATTATATCTACTATTGAGCTATAAATAATTCAATTTGGATAATACCAAAAAATCATAACTATTTGACTAATTAACATAAAATTTTACATTGCATTTTTTTAAAGCAAACAAACCTATTTTGAAATATTTTTATTATCTTACTAACTTACTAACTTATTATTTTATTAACTTACTATAATATTTACTAGATATCATACGTATGAGATAATTTAAATACTAAAATAAAGTATACACATTTCATAATATGATAAACATATTCTATTTTAATATTGCCAATGTCCATTTAATTAGTATACATTGCCAATTAAAATATTTGTTTATTAAATTATAAATTATATATAATATATTTATAAATCATTTGGTTTTAACAATAAAACAACATTAAACGCATTATAAAAAAAATTTTAAAGCCAGGTTAAGTAAGTAATAATTAGTTTAACACATGTTCGTACTAAATGAAATAATTAAGGTTTAATACACAGAGTACCTGTCCTACAAAACAAAATATTAATTACTCATTAAATTTATAATAAACACTAATTTTGTAATTTTTTAGACAAAAATTATAATTAATTTTTTGTGATATGAATTTATACTGCAGTTAATAGTTTGTAATAAAAAACTTAATAATGTTTTACAAATCAATTGTAACTCATTTGACATTATTAGTGATTACATTAATTGGAGTCCATATTACCGTTCCCGTAGACATTGTACCAGGTAAATCTATTTTCGTAATTATAATATGGTAAATAAATTTCTACAATATTTTACTAATATAATGCTATATGTGCCGCACAGGTAGGCCGTCATTCCGTTCGTTGACAAATGTAGAGCTGAGTGCATTCCTGACATGTATTCCGGGGTCAAAGTTCACGACAATCACAAGTTTCCTAAACTTCAATACTGAGACCTCTTGCGAGGACGTGTCGCTCATCAATAGTGACACCTCTGCCAACGGCACCATTGGCTTCGAGGCCATACAGATCCCATTCAGCTCACTGTCCCCTTACAGTAACCGACAGACTAAAAATGGTTAGCATTTAGGTTTCGGTTTATTTAGTTTATAATTATTCCTGATCTTAAGAGAGAGAGAGAGAGAGAGAGAGAGAGAGAGAGTATTTTTATTAAAATCAAATTCTTTGTTTTGTAATAACAGTGTGTACAACAGAATATTTAAACGATACCATGTCATTTGTATACATGTATTGCTACTCATGTGTCCAATAATATGAGAATATTCTTGAGTCTAAAGAATCTCTCTCTCTCTCTCTCTCTCTCTCTCACTCACTCTCCCTCCCTCTCTCTCTCTCTAATTGTGAATTAACAATTTGTGTGTTAATAGACCAGGAAGTGAACGGTACGATAAACTACGGGCGCTGTTTGGGCGACAATATGCTGAGCGAACACATCAGTATAGGCGACGCGGGCTCGTGTTCGGTGGAGCGCCGGGTGGCCCGACTCAGCACTATATTCTCGGTCATTAGGATACGAGGCAAATGTCAGTCCTTTTGCACCGGTATCACCACTATTCGGCTCAGTCCTAATATTAGCTAAACCATAGACCCATTCAACAGATTCTACATGTGTTTGTGTTATATTTGAGTAAAAGTTTTATATCTTTAAATAAATCAAGTTTTCAACATTTTTGACTTTTTGTAATTTATTTTGTGATATTTTTTTGTTAGGAAAGTTTAATTAGAGTTATTTGTATAAAAAATATTTGTATATGGGTTAATCACAGGTGTTGACACATTTTAAACATTGCAAACATTTAATTAGAAATTAATTTTATAAAATTATTTAGAAGTTGTCGCTCACGCTGTATATTAAAAATTAGCAAGCTGTTTAGTCTAAACAGTTTAGAATCTAAACTTTAGATAATATTTCAATAGATATATTATTTTATTAGCTCTAAACATTTAACATTTAAAAACAATTTCTAAACATGAATATAGTTACTTGATGAGTAACCTTTATAACAAAAATAATAGGTGCTTTAGTTGAGATTATTAATCGTAACTATCGTTGTAATACAGTAATAACTTTGATACAATTTAATTCAAACATTATACCGATATTAATACTGCACTGTACTATAAAACTCATAAACTTCACGTAATTTCTCACTGAATGCATTAAACTTTTGCCCTTTTCTGACTACAAATATTTATTGACATTTTAATTGATAAACCTATGAGTTTGGTGAACAAACATTTCAACGATAGTGTACTTCACTTGTATTCACGCATATCGTGAATCATTTAATTACAGTCTGCTCTCAGTAAAGCTTATAAAATACCTTGATACAATTGTCAACAAATTAATTCAACACACTAATTGCCACGACTAAATCTCAGCATGCTCTTTTTATTAATCTAAATATTACCGTAAAATACTATATTTAACGACAATTGCAATACACGTGTCGACTATAGGGGGCACAGACTGTATGTGCGACCCATACATGAGTTGTCAACGAAAACATTGACTTAAAAAACAAAAACACTTTTCAATGGCTTTGAAGACCTCTTCGCCAATGGTTTCGGTGATCATAAAGACGTGATATGTTTGGCTCGAAGTCGAAGGCCGTGTCGTCGCCATCGCGGGTCAGCATCGAGGAGGCCAACAGTCACCTGAGGGCTGTCCACCAGCGCGTGGAACAGTTGGAACAGATCATCACAACACAGAGACACCAATTGGTGGCCAATGAGGACACCCATCGACAGGAGGTCCAGTGTTTGGTGCAGACGCACGACAAACACGTCCAACACCTCAACCAACAGATGGATTCGTTGAAAGACAAAGTATGATGTCTTTGATTGTGTCATGAGTTTGTACCACTCATTGAGTCTTAGACTTACAGTTAGGATACCATTCATAAGATAATGGCATATATTAGTGGATAATTAGTATACATATTGTCTTAAACTAACCAATTGTTCACTCGTAACGAGTGGACGATTGGTACGATTCTTGTGGTAAACTATTGTCTCATATGATGTCTTGTATGTCCATCAGATCCAGGACTTGGAGCACAAACTCGAGAAACAAAACTATAAACTGATTGAAGAAAACGCGAAACAAATGGAGAAATTGTCGCAAATCTTGAAATTGACGCCAAATTTAGAGAAATTACTGAAACTATTGAATAGTCTTATGATTAATAACACGAATTGCGTGAAAACAGTGGACTTGAGGTCCGCCACGAGTCATGATCTCATGAATGGCTTCGGCGACAACTCACCTCTGGAGGACATCCCTAACCCTCACAACAACCACAGCAACAGTAGTCACAAAATAGCTGTAAATACGGGCGAAAAGGCGCCCAAAAAGTCGGTTAAACTCAACTGCGAGGACCAGTGTATACCGGAAGAGGTGTTCCTATCGGAGACCTCGTCCACCAACACATCCATAGGTCGGTCGCCGCCGTCGTCCACCACATCGTCAGCGGCCACCGGACTCACGGTTATGGCTACCGGCGCGGCGGGCAATGGCGGCTCGGGTTCCGGTGCTCACAATCATCACCACAAGAGGTCGAGTAACTCGAAGCTAAGAATTGGTCGCAGTTTTAACATAACCGCCAACTTCTCGGACGATGAGGAACAGCCGGTGGGACGGGCTGTCGACCGGACCACCCACTCGTCCACCAGCGCCGTCAACACGAGGCCCGGAATGCCCCGTAAAAAGTCTACCGATATTTAGAGTATTATTTGTTTTCATTATTTGTTTTATTTATTGTGTTTTTAATTTGTTTTCATATTTATTGTTTAATTTATTGATTAATTTTATTTTATACATATTTATGGTATTATTTGTTATGTATTTTGTGTTTTAAAATTACTTTTTTAGTCAAACTTTTAGTCAATACAATAGAAAAGCGAATCCAATCGAAGGCTTAACTTAAACTGAATGAATATTTTAACTAAATATTGAAAGCTTATCCACTTATGAAATACAAGTAATTTATTGTAAAAATCAACACTTTGTTTGATTGTAATGATTATGATAATTACGAAAATATTTATATTATACACCCAACCATTAGTCATTCCATAGGGTTTTTTCTAAACAAAACCTATAATTAATTTAATTTTTACATTAATTTAAATGAAATTTACTCCTCGAATATGACAACAAAAAAGCATTTTTACGAAATAATTAATAAAAATTATATTTAATGGAAATATTTAACACAATTTGTTTGGAGCTATGTTTGTAATAACATATGGATTACAAGGACTTCCCGCAAGACATTCCCAAAAATAACATAACTTTTTTACAGCACCTGTACATTCACTTCAGACTCATTGAGTGAGAGGTGTCGGTGCGATCGGACGGGCTTTTCGGCCATATTTGCCTCACCTTTACATCTTCGTAGACATATCTCTTGGAAACGCGACACGAAATACCGGTGCGATCGCGAGGGTGTTGTGAATACAAAACGGACACAATAGGTGGGCTCCTATTGAGACCTATTGAGTGACTCGACGGAACGGCTGGTCAAGGGTTCACTCAATGAATGCGACAAATGACAGCCGGCACAATAAATTTGCATCCAGGTCTCACTCATTAAATTGTTATTTAAACCAAACTTTTCAATGATAACCAGAATATTCTTGGGGCTAAACAACTGAATACCGGCTAAGAATTTATTAAATGAACTTGTAGAATTTGAACTTATTACCGGTATATCTATTTATAATTATTTCAAAATTTTAAGAAATATATTATTTATTTTTCTCATAAATATAATCATATCTAATGTTTACATACTTATTGTACTTATTAAGGGGTTAAGTAAAAGATAATCATAAGTATACTTAATCTCTATATTAAAAATGTGAAAATCCATTCACAATAATAACCTAAAATCACAATATAATAGTGATTATATAAATTTTGGTCTTGAAACACATATCACTGTTATCTTAAATAAAATATTTATTTATAACTTATCTGTCCCGGGTATTAAGTTGTCAACTACTAATCCCACTAATTATCTAATTATTATCATCATTTTCTCATAAGGTGTCTCAAATGTCTGTAATAATAGGTATTTACATAAAACATAACACATAAAATTCATGCGAAAAGTGTATTAATTACATAATTAGTGTGAAAATCATATGTTGAATATCCGTGTGATGTCTGATTGCATAGAGAATAAC